AGTTATTTTTAGACAAAGTAGGCGACTTTCAAGATATGCAAATCATGTAATTATTCTATAGATAGACGAAGTGCGTAAGAATAAGGCTAGAAAATGTCAACGTTATAATTCATTCATCGAGATGTGCACCCCTTGTAAATGTAATTTTACACACCACATGCTACTTTAAAGTTATATTGACCTGCAGATGAAAATGTCGCCAAAATACTCTCCAAATGTTCTTTACGCTGTATAATAATCACATAGCCAAAACCTACATCCCAATATATGGGATGTAGGTTATATCCCATATATATATGGGATATAACCATATATATATAAAATTATCTATTTTATAAGATCAAAATATAAAAACTAGGGCTGTCAAACAATTAAAATGTTTAGAGCTTAAAAATTTAAGATTCGTAATTATTCGTATTCCAAACTAAGTAAGTAAGTAAGTAATCTTTATTTATATACCGCCCTTCACAGACGACCAGAGTCACAAAGCGGTTTACAATTGTTATTTTTGGGCACTTGTCCTCTCACTCCACACAGAGCGGGAGCGGGGTCGCCGAACAGGAGGCGCATGCCAGACCTATTGTACATATTTTTAGTGGAAGGGGAAACCGGAGTACCCGGAGGAAACCTAACTGTCGGCAAAATTATGCCATATTTTTCTGTAAACGGTTGTTTGAATGGAAAGATAAATAGATGACAACATAGTGTACATATGTACCGTATTTGTTTATTACAATAAAAATAAATCCACATCAAATGGTATTAACCCTCTATGGCATACTGTTGCCCTCGGGCAACAATCCAATCTTTTGGCTCTTACACTGGCCCTTTAATGTTTTTTTTTTTTTATTTTATTTATAAAATTACTAGACATGTTTCTGTCCCATTAAATCAAGTTCTGAAGTGGGTGGGGGCAATTGTCTGGGGGTGGAGCAGTCCTTTCAGGAAGCAGAGTCACAAGTGACACAGTGCCAGAAAAAGGTAGGATAAATATAACTTTTCTACATGTTTAAATTAAAAAAACTTGATAAAATAAATATGTGACTGTGCATGAATATGTTAAGAAGCATATTTGATTGTTAATATATGTTTTTTGTTTCCATTTATATACAAAAACTGCACGTTTAGGTTTGTTGCCTCAAGGCAACATCATGCAGTTGTAGCACTTTTGTTTGGGCAGTGTAATGCTGCTGGTTGGGGATGTGCTTGAATGGATAATCAACACCACACTCAATGTTTTTTGCTGTTCTATCTTCCATTCTGATCTATCTACTATTGCTTGTAGGAAATGGATGCAATAACGTTTTACGGGTCCAAGAATGAAGGAGTTAGGGACATTCCAATCGATAGTCCTGGTCTCAGGTCTCTGTCCTGAAGTCCTCTCACATTAGTCCTGGCCTCAGGTCTCTGTCCTAAAGTCCTCTCACATTAGTCCTGGTCTCAGGTCTCTGTCCTGAAGTCCTCTCACATTAGTCCTGGTCTCAGGTCTCTGTCCTGAAGTCCTCTCACATTAGTCCTGGTCTCAGGTCTCTGTCCTGAAGTCCTCTCACATTAGTCCTGGTCTCAGGTCTCTGTCCTGAAGTCCTCTCACATTAGTCCTGGTCTCAGGTCTCTGTCCTGAAGTCCTCTCACATTAGTCCTGGTCTCAGGTCTCTGTCCTGAAGTCCTCTCACATTAGTCCAGGTCTCAGGTCTCTGTCCTGAAGTCCTCTCACATTAGTCCTGGTCTCAGGTCTCTGTCCTGAAGTCCTCTCACATTAGTCCTGGTCTCAGGTCTCTGTCCTGAAGTCCTCTCACATTAGTCCTGGTCTCAGGTCTCTGTCCTGAAGTCCTCTCACATTAGTCCTGGTCTCAGGTCTCTGTCCTGAAGTCCTCTCACATTAGTCCTGGTCTCAGGTCTCTGTCCTGAAGTCCTCTCACATTAGTCCTGGTCTCAGGTCTCTGTCCTGAAGTCCTCTCACATTAGTCCAGGTCTCAGGTCTCTGTCTTGGCTGTGAAACATCTATGTTTCACAGCCACTAGCAACTGCTTCTTGCTGTTCCATACACAATAGGCTACCGAGACCCGCAGCTGTGTGACTTACTAGAGGCTCAGAACTGTTTTTGCTTTTGTTTTTGCAATCTGGAGTGCTCTGTACCCGTTTAAAAAAGTTGATCTTGAAAAATAAAAGAATAAAAGCTTCTCTAATGTATTTGTTTTATTATTTTCCTAATTCAATGTAATATTGCAAACCTTGGTGTTTTAGTACCCTCGTCGCACAATGTTGCCCTTAAGCAACAAACCATTATCTGATTGGGGGGGTGGGGGGGGGGGGGGGTCAAATGTAAAAATCAATGTTATTAGGGACCCACAAGCTCTTAAAAAGTGTGTTGAAATATTTTTTTACCCCTAAAATAAAAAGTCATGCCATAGAGGGTTAACATTATTAACATTCTGTCTTTCTGTTGTAGACACAGACCAAAACTGTTGTTTGTTACAGGGATGAGAATGGGACATTTCAAAACAGTCTGAAATGCAGAATGTCATTAAATCTGTTTGATTTGCCCACAACTTTTTACTTTTAGGCACAACCAACATGAACTGGTAGTGCAAGGGAAATTAGGTACCCCAGCTTTAAGTTAGCGAGTTTAGTTGAGGAAACACGGAGGAGACACGGACACTTCCTGAGGCTCCATAGTCCATTTCAACGTTGTATTCATTGCGTGCACAGATTACGTAAAGACATGCACACAACAAGCAGAGAATAGTTCTCTGCGCGTGTATGGCGCTTACGGCGGCGCCGTTCGCCGTGTTGTTGTCAAAACGGCTCACCGGCGCTGGAGGTGGGAACCACTATCCAGAGCGGCCGCAGTTGCCCCGCGTCAGAATGCTACGGCCACGGAGGATGCAGACTCCTGTTCGACTTCAGAGCAAAAAACAGCAAGTGTCCCACGGTTACGCGCACATTGTTTTATTATTTGAATTCCCAGAGGGCCTACCGACTCTGTCTCCATCTACGCATGTGTAATAGATTCATGGCATGTGTCCGCAGCATTCTGAATCTAATTATGGGATGCATGGGTGGGTCAATCGGCACATGCGTCAAATGCGTTAATTTTTTTACCGCGATTAAAGGAGCTATACCCGTTTCTGCAAGGCTTTTTCAGTTTGAACGTTCAGCCCTCTCATTTCCCCTACGCTCTCCTCCCACGAAGCCATTTAGTTATATTTGCAATCTGATACGTATGCAAACACAAACATTAGCGCAACTTCTTGTAAGCAGTACAAGTAACTGAAAGATTACAGCTAGTTTTATATCCAAATTTAGTCCGAGGCGGTCCGTTCCCGCAGGTCTCTCCAGAGGATACGATGTAAGCTAGCTATGTTCAACAGGGCTTGATTTATTCTCTGATCTTTTTTTCGCTTTTGTTCCCGCTTCTCTTCCGTTGCTATTTCATACTGTTGTGTCATTTGGGCTGTTTTGTTGTGTATGCAATTACAGCCAGATGAGTTTTAGCCACTTTCTGCCTCCATCCTGCCTGTTCATAACAGCACTGCTCCTTGTTCTGTGATTGGAGAAGAGCTAGCATCACGCTAAAGCCTAGTTTATACTCGCGCGGCGCGGAGCTTACGGAGGTGACGTGACGTCACTTGCGCAACGCGTTGGTCACCGCAAGGCCCTTACGTTGCCTGCCGCGCAGCATCGAAATTTTCTAACTACGTAAGGGTCGCCGCAAGGAAGCTCCGCTGTGATTGGTCCGTGTGTGTGTATTGGAAGGAAGCATGAAGCGGCTTCAGCAGGGACACGGACGAGGCACTATGGAGCAGAGAGCTTTGTGCTTCGAAGGAAAAGCAATTTGGGTTCAGAGCCTGATATACAGGAGACTGTGGACTATCTAACATATATATAACCTATATCTAACATATATCTAACTTATAAACTGTGCAGTCGTTTGTTTTGCACTGTTCCTGTCTTTGTTTGAATCGTAGCTGCGTTTGTTGCTTTCCTCCTGCACTCGTAAATCGTTCATGTTTGTCTCAGATATTTACCACTATTATTGTTTTGCTGTTTGTGCTGAAAACTATTTAATAATAACTATGTTTCCAACAAGAACTGTGATGCTGTGAATAAAGACACAGCATCACATAAACCTACAGTAGAAACACGTGTAATGAGCTCAAACAGCTTTGTTTGCTTTTGTTGTTCTGAAGAGGACAAAGTAGCAGCGTAAATGGGACCGCTCCTGTGTGATCGCCCTCATGTGGTTTGTTGTGGGATTACAACATTCTCCTCAAAACTCCGTAAGGGGAACGCGCCAGTATAACATCAATTGTGCTTACGTAGGTCCACCGCATCCGCTAACGTAAGCCACGCCGCGCAAGTATACACTAGGCTTAAGTTTCTACTCAGCACTTTTTACGGCCTGAATTCATAGGATTTAGCTTGAATTCAATTCAAGCTAAATCAATGAGCTTAAGTTTTCAATGAAATTACGGATTTTAATACAACTTGTATGTAGTAATATGCATTTTTATGCACTCATTAGAAAATAGATTGGGGATAGCTTCTTTAAAGAAAATAATTAATTAACACGCTTTGACGCAATAACTTTGACAGCCCTAATAAAAACTAAACTGTGTTTTATCTGTTCCTCTCTCTAGTTCCAGAAATCTACAAGAAAAGTCAGCAGGCCTCTTGCAACTGTGGGGTTTAAGTTTGATTGATAAATATCTATTTATTGATTAAATATACCTCTGTACTAAAGAAAAAGAACCTGACCAGACCTTATCATTTTGTTTCGCATTTCTTTTTGAGAACCGGCGACCCCTTAAAACTGTAAAAAGACAAGACAGGACAAATTTCTCCCTGAAGATGAACAAATACAATTGAAATTAAATAAATAGTACCCAGAGCGAGTTCCAGCAAAACGTTGTCCATGAGTACTTCTCTATTGGGTTTCAATGAGCTGGGTGGTAAGCATTATTGTTCATAGTATAAACTGCATGCATGTGTGTCCTTACTTGCAGACCCCGTCCTCAGGCTCCTCCAGGCCAAAACGTTGGTCAAAGTGCACCTGGATCCTCATGTTGTTGGGGACCACCAGCCTCCACACCAGTGCAGTGTTCCGGGGGTACGTGTGCGGGAAATTTGGACTGATTAACGTACCCTCGGCTGATATTGTGAGCACCTTTTCCAGTTGGGAATCCTGCACTCCTGCAAAACACACCACACAATAAGATGAGCATAGATAGAGCCCACAAAGACGGGGATACTAAGACAAAATATGCACGTTTTAAATATTTTTCTAATGTATGTAATAAATATTACATTGTATTTTGTATTACTAGTTTGCACATGCATGTTTTTGGCCTCTGTTACATCTTTATATCACCTTCTTCAGATTGAAAATTCCCTCAAATAGTGACTGAGCTCTTTCTTGGAAAAAATACTTTCTAATGACAAAATGGTTGTACTTTTACAAGACTCTTTTTTGTTGCAACAAACCATGAATAGATTTTAGAGTGTTTCCATCCAAAACCATGAGTTGTGTTTTGATGACTGTCTGTAACCAAAACTCCTCAGCATACTTCAACCACTTCCTTACATCTCCATACTTCAGCTAACAGCTTCAAAATAGGGGGGTGTCTCCCTCTACACCAGGGGTCGGCAACCTTTGTGATATCGAGTGCCAGTTTGAAATTTTCTTCTCATCTAGTGTGCCATTATCAACGATAACGCAAAGTTAAATTATGGCACAAAATACAAAAACATTTCCAATATACCTGGAATTTTATTCTCAACAATAACAGAATCAGAATCAGAATTATTTTTATTGCCACGTAAGTAACAAACAAAAGTTACCACTTGGAAATTGTTTTGGCAGAGAGCGAGCCACTTTGCCATTTGCGTTGCTGTGATCTGTATTCTTAACAATATAAAGTATTCGGCCCCCTTGAACCTTTCAACATTTCGCCACATTTCAGGCTTCAAACATAAAGATATAAAACATATTTTTTTTGTCAAGAATCAAAAACAAGTGGGACACAATCGTGAAGTGGAACGAAATTTATTGGATAATTTAAACTTTTTTAACAAATAAAAAACTGAAAAGTGGGGCGTGCAATATTATTCGGCCCCCTTGCGCTAATACTTTGTAGCGCCACCTTTTGCTGCAATTACAGCTGCAAGTCGCTTGGGGTATGTCTCTATCAGTTTTGCACATCGAGAGACTGGAATTCTTGCCCATTCTTCCTTGCAAAACAGCTCGAGCTCAGTGAGGTTGGATGGAGAGTGTTTGTCAACAGCAGTCTTCAGCTCTTTCCACAGATTCTCGATTGGATTCAGGTCTGGACTTTGACTTGGCCATTCTAACACCTGGATACGTCTATTTGTGAACCATTCCATTGTAGATTTGGCTTTATGTTTTGGATCATTGTCCTGTTGGAAGATAAATCTCCGTCCCAGTCTCAGGTCTTTTGCAGACTCCAACAGGTTTTCTTCCAGAATGGTCCTGTATTTGGCTCCATCCATCTTCCCATCAATTTTAGCCATCTTCCCTGTCCCTGATGAAGAAAAGCAGGCCCAAAGCATGATGCTGCCACCACCATGTTTGACAGTGGGGATGGTGTGTTCAGGGTGATGAGCTGTGTTGCTTTCACGCCAAACATATCGTTTTGCATTGTGGCCAAAAAGTTCGATTTTGGTTTCATCTGACCAGAACACCTTCTTCCACATGTTTGGTGTGTCTCCCAGGTGGCTTGTGGCAAACTTTAAACAAGACTTTTTATGGATATCTTTGAGAAATGGCTTTCTTCTTGCCACTCTTCGATAAAGGCCAGATTTGTGCAGTGCACGACTGATTGTTGTCCTATGGACAGACTCTCCCACCTCAGCTGTAGTTATCTGCAGTTCATCCAGAGTGATCATGGGCCTCTTGACTGGATCTCTGATCAGTCTTCTCCTTGTTTGAGATGAAAGTTTGGAGGGACGGCCGGGTCTTGGTAGATTTGCAGTGGTCTGATACTCCTTCCATTTCAATATAATTGCTTGCACAGTGCTCCTTGAGATGTTTAAAGCTTGGGAAATCTTTTTGTATCCAAATCCGGCTTTAAACTTCTCCACAACAGTATCTCGGACCTGCCTGGTATGTTCCTTTGTCTTCATGGTTCTCTCTGCGCTTTAAACAGAACCCTGACACTATCAAAGAGCAGGTGCATTTATACGGAGACTTGATTACACACAGGTGCATTCTATTTATCATCATCAGTCATTTAGGACAACATTGGATCATTCAAAGATCCTCACTGAACTTCTGGAGTGAGTTTGCTGCAGTGAAAGTAAAGGGGCCGAATAATATTGCACGCCCCACTTTTCAGTTTTTTATTTGTTAAAAAAGTTTAAATTATCCAATACATTTCGTTCCACTTCACGATTGTGTCCCACTTGTTGTTGATTCATGACAAAAAATAAAAATTTTATATCTATTTGTTTGAAGCCTGAAATGTGGCGAAATGTTGAAAGGTTCAAGGGGGCCGAATACTTACGCAAGGCACTTTAGCCACATCAAAATTTCAAAGACAGAAAAACAGCTAGCCTACACATTTAAACTAAAACTAGTGTAGGCTGAGGCAACATCAAATTATCAGATGCCTATCCGACAGCCAGTGTGATCCCTGGCCCTGCTTTGCTTGACTGAGCTATGTGATCTGGGGCTTGTAGTTAGTTACTTTGAGTTGCAAACATGCCTCAGAGTGCTCCGTTGTTAACCGACTGCGGGTGGGGCTTCTCGTCCTCCAGTTCTGGATATTTTTGGCCATTTTCATTCAGAAAAGCCTTGATAGCATCAGAGCAGCTGACAAATCGCTCCAGAACTTTTCTGCAACTCTTCTGCAATACAAACAAATTAAGACACGAATGACACTTTTAATGCAATTGGAGGTGAGATGTTGATGGTTCCGTGTTGTGATATGTGGGTTTTAAGAGTAAGAGTTTCGTGTAAAGTTTGTTTTAAGCAGTCAACTGCTCCTGTGAAACCACACTGCTACCGTGTGATAGAAGTCCTCGAGTTGACTGCTGCATAGGTCATTTTACTGACGTCGGCCGATGACACGTCCTATGGCAACTCCACAGCTTACAACTGGTCTGTCAGGTTGATAATGGAAATAATACATTATATTCAATGCGTATCGTATCGTATATCGTATGCATGTATTCAATATGATTAACAATAGTGTGTTCAAATGAAATATTTAATTAGATCAAGTTTTTTCCCCATTCAGTCGGGTTTCTGCGCATGCGCAAATCAGATTTGGGTTACAGTAGCAGTGTGGTTTCACAGGAGCAGTTGACTGCCTAACTTTACACAAAACTCTTACTCTTAAAACCCACATATCACAACACGGAACCATCAACATTTCGCCTCAAATTGCATTAAAAGTGACATTTGTGTCGTAATTTGTTCGTATTTTAACTTTTAAAGCAACTCACAGACTTCGTGTCCGCCATCTTGGATTGCTTCGACTGCCGTGCCCATTTTTGCATTACATCATTTACAGCTGAGGCAGCAGAACTCGGCAGAACAGCGGCAGTCAAAAGCGCACAGACAAAGAGGCAGATGCTTTTATTTTTAAGACAGGACAGATAAAGTGAGTATCGTAATAATACTGGGTGCCAGTGTGCCAGTCCTTATTCCGCGGCGTGCCACAGGTTGCCGACCCCTGCTCTACACCCTCCCTGTATCCTCACCTCATTCCCCTGTCCGTCCTCCACACCATGTCATGTCTCCCAATGAGTAGGTTTGGGATGCTCTGAAATACTATACAATAGCATGTTTTAGTTTCTGGCAATATCGAGAAACTTCTGACTAAAGAGGAGAGGAACAAACCAGCACCAGTGGCTGAAACGCACTAAGGTTGTCTACAGAAAAATGGGAATTAAAAACAGAAGCGTTGTGTTCATATTTTGTCCTTTCAAACTGTTTTTTACGCAAATAAGGAAACATTGTATTTTGGAGCACGCAAATGGAACTTTCTCTAACTTCCACTGTTGTGTAAGCAAAAACACTGCTCATAGTTGCATAACCTTCTTAGGTTGACAGGACTGTTTCTGGTCCAGTTTTCTTTATATTTGGTCCATAATCCTCTGAATGCTGATTGACTGAAGTCATGGTTTAAACATAAAAAAAACTTGTGCTTTTTGATTAGGAGAATGTTTAGACTTGACAAAGCCCCTTTTTCTAGATGCAACCTGATCAGACCTGAACTAGGCAGCGACTGCAACAAGTACATACAAATACTGCACTCTGATGTGGAGAGTCTGTGAGAGACTTAAAGGAGCAATATGTAATATTTGCATGTCAAGTCATCATTAAATGACCCGAATATTTCAAAAGCATTAATAAATCATGTACTTTTCAAACACATCTTTAACTGATAACAGTAGTTCATCCGAGATTTTTGAATATCAAAATTAGTTTTACGACCCGTAAAAGTTGTTATTGTTTTGATTTTGATGTCCTACCCTCCGCCGTTTCGCCAATCAGGAAGTGTCATGTAAGTCCGTGATCGGGTTGCCAGAACTCCGTGCGGCTCACTAATCTCAGAGGTAAAATAACATGTGGCGCAGAACTAAAAAAGGTCTTGTTATGACTCTCAAATCATTAATGACAAAACAAAGACTAAAACGAGGATTTATATCGGGACGCCTTTGAACAATTGAGACAGCTGATAAAAGTTTACGTGTGATGCAGAATTTGCTAGTTTGAGTCCGTTCTTCACGGTGAGTCCAACTGTGTGAATCGGTGGTCTAGTGGTCAAAACTGTGCGCTTACGATGCAGGAACCCGGGTTCGATTCCGTGCCATGTCTTTTTGTATTTATTGCATGTTATCACATTCTATGACAGATTGCTCTAAAAACGGTAAAAGACGAAGGTCAAGACGTTTTTTTGCAGATTATAGCTTAATTGTAAAAATAATCATTTCAGACCACATGTACCCCAATTAAAACTAGAAACTTGCAATGGCTGAAGCCATTGCGATTGACTGCGGAACAGATCTAATGTGGAATTTAGCTGAAAAATCCTTGAAATCCTTGAAACTGTTAAAATACTTTAAACATCTTTGAAACTCCTGAAGTATTTGAAGCTCCTGATATCCTTTAAACTGTTATCCTTTATACTGGTTTACATGTAAAAACCCCTATTAAGTTGCATTATACTGGTTTACATGGAAAAATCCCCATTAAGTTGCATTATACTGGTTTACATGTAAAAAACCCTATTAAGTTGCATTATACTGGTTTACATGGAAAAATCCCTATTAAGTTGCATTATACTGGTTTACATGTAAAAATCCCTATTAAGTTGCATTATACTGGTTTACATGTAAAAACCCCTATTAAGTTCCATTATACTGGTTTACATGTAAAAACCCCTATTAAGTTCCATTATACTGGTTTACATGTAAAAAAAAACCCTATTAAGTTGCATTATACTGGTTTACATGGAAAAATCCCCATTAAGTTGCATTATACTGGTTTACATGAAAAAACCCTATTAAGTGGCATTATACTGGTTTACATGAAAAAAACCCTATTAAGTTGCATTATACTGGTTTACATGGAAAAATCCCTATTAAGTTGCATTATACTGGTTTACATGGAAAAATCCCTATTAAGTTGCATTATACTGGTTTACATGGAAAAATCCCTATTAAGTTGCATTATACTGGTTTACATGGAAAAAACCCTATTAAGTTGCATTATACTGGTTTACATGTAAAAACCCCTATTAAGTTGCATTATACTGGTTTACATGGAAAAATCCCCATTAAGTTGCATTATACTGGTTTACATGTAAAAACCCCTATTAAGTTGCATTATACTGGTTTACATGGAAAAATCCCTATTAGGTTGCATGATTACACTGAAGTCCTTGAAACTGGTGAAGTCCTTGAAACTGTTGAAGTCCTTGAAACTGTTGAAGTCCTTGAAACTCTTGAAACCTTGAAACTGCTGAAGTCCTTGAAACTGTTGAATCATTGAAACTGTTGAATCATTGAAACTGTTGAATCATTGAAACTGTAGAAATGTCTGAAAGAGCTGAAGTCCTATTAAAATGCATGGGCCTATTAAAATGCATTGCAGAATTCTCAATGCAAATTAATGGCAGAATTCCCAAGTCCCGTAGAAAAAAACTGGAAAACTGCAGAACTCTATTTTTTTCTGAAAACTCACAAGTTGTGGAAGCTGAACATGCACAAACTGCAGAAAATGCTGAAAATGTTGAAGAAAATTCTGAAAACTATGAATTTGTGGAAGCCCCATTATAGGTCAATGGGAAAAATCGACCGATTTTTGTCCGATTGCGGAAAAACCGGAAATCGCTGAAGTCCCAAAAGTAATAGCAATAATCTCCCAAACATGTGGAACGTTTTGATGTATAACTTGTGGAAATTGTTGAAAATGTGAAAGCTGTGAAACGTGTCAAAAAAAATGACGGAATAAAGAAATACAAAACCAATGGTTGACTGCGGAAGGTTCCGCAGTCAATCAACTAGAAATGGTACAATGGCTGAAGCCATTGTGAGTGGCTGCATAGATGTTGGAAGGGTTAGGGATGAAGAAGGAAGAGGAAGGGGAAGAAGAAGGAAGAAAGAAAAGAGAAGAAGAGGAAAGAAGAAGAAGGGGAAGAAGAGGAAGAAGAGGAAGAAGAGGAAGAAGAGGAAGAAGAGGAAGAAGGGGAAGAAGAGGAAGAAGGGAAAGAAGAGGAAGAAGGGGAAGAAGAGGAAGAAGAGGAAGAAGGGGAAGAAGAGGAAGAAGTGAATAAGATGAAGTAAGAAGAATGTGTTGTAAGGGGCTGAAAGTGTTGTAAAGTGCTGAATGTGTTTTAAAGTGCTGAATGTGTTGTAAAGTGCTTAATATGTTGTAAAGTGCTAAATGTGTTGTAAAGTGCTAAATGTGTTGTAAAGTGTTGAATTTGTTGTAAAGTGCTAAATGTGTTGTAAGGTATTGAATGTTTGGTAAAGTGCTAAATGTGTTGTAAGGTGTTGAATGTGTTGTAAAGTGCTAAATGTGTTGTAAAGGGTTGAATTAGTTGTAAAGTGCTAAATGTGTTGTAAGGTATTGAATGTTTGGTAAAGTGCTAAATGTGTTGTAAGGTGTTGAATGTGTTGTAAAGTGCTAAATGTGTTGTAAGGTGCTGTAAGTGTTGTAAGATGTTGTAATGTATTGTATCTGTGGTAATGAATTGTTAGTGTGGTAATGTGTTGTATGGGGAGTAATCTGTTGTACTGGTCCAATGTAAGTCTATGGGAAAAAGTGCTTGAACTTTTGTTAATATCTGAAAAAGTGCTAAAGGTGGAAGTGTGAAAAGTAATAGCAACTAGAAACCGTTGCAATGGCTGAAGCCATTGCGATTGACTGCGGAACAGATCTAATGTGGAATTTAGCTGAAAAATCCTTGAAATCCTTGAAACTGTTAAAATACTTTAAACATCTTTGAAACTCCTGAAGTATTTGAAGCTCCTGATATCCTTTAAACTGTTATCCTTTATACTGGTTTACATGTAAAAACCCCTATTAAGTTGCATTATACTGGTTTACATGGAAAAATCCCCATTAAGTTGCATTATACTGGTTTACATGTAAAAAACCCTATTAAGTTGCATTATACTGGTTTACATGGAAAAATCCCTATTAAGTTGCATTATACTGGTTTACATGTAAAAATCCCTATTAAGTTGCATTATACTGGTTTACATGTAAAAACCCCTATTAAGTTCCATTATACTGGTTTACATGTAAAAACCCCTATTAAGTTCCATTATACTGGTTTACATGTAAAAAACCCTATTAAGTTCCATTATACTGGTTTACATGTAAAAAAAAACCCTATTAAGTTGCATTATACTGGTTTACATGTAAAAACCCATATTAAGTTGCATTATACTGGTTTACATGGAAAAATCCCCATTAAGTTGTTGCATTATACTGGTTTACATGAAAAAAACCCTATTAAGTGGCATTATACTGGTTTACATGAAAAAAACCCTATTAAGTTGCATTATACTGGTTTACATGGAAAAAACCCTATTAAGTTGCATTATACTGGTTTACATGTAAAAACCCCTATTAAGTTGCATTATACTGGTTTACATGGAAAAATCCCCATTAAGTTGCATTATACTGGTTTACATGTAAAAACCCCTATTAAGTTGCATTATACTGGTTTACATGGAAAAATCCCTATTAGGTTGCATGATTACACTGAAGTCCTTGAAACTGGTGAAGTCCTTGAAACTGTTGAAGTCCTTGAAACTGTTGAAGTCCTTGAAACTCTTGAAACCTTGAAACTGCTGAAGTCCTTGAAACTGTTGAATCATTGAAACTGTTGAATCATTGAAACTGTAGAAATGTCTGAAAGAGCTGAAGTCCTATTAAAATGCATGGGCCTATTAAAATGCATTGCAGAATTCTCAATGCAAATTAATTGCAGAATTCCCAAGTCCCGTAGAAAAAAACTGGAAAACTGCAGAACTCTATTTTTTTCTGAAAACTCACAAGTTGTGGAAGCTGAACATGCACAAACTGCAGAAAATGCTGAAAATGTTGAAGAAAATTCTGAAAACTATGAATTTGTGGAAGCCCCATTATAAGTCAATGGGAAAAATCGACCGATTTTTGTCCGATTGCGGAAAAACCGGAAATCGCTGAAGTCCCAAAAGTAATAGCAATAATCTCCCAAACATGTGGAACGTTTTGATGTATAACTTGTGGAAATTGTTGAAAATGTGAAAGCTGTGAAACGTGTCAAAAATCAGGAAAAAGACGGAATAAAGAAAACCAAAACCAATGGTTGACTGCGGAAGGTTCCGCAGTCAATCAATAATGAGACGGTGAAGCCGGTCGTAACGATGTATAATTTGTTGAATTTGGTGAAAGCGTTGAAGAGTTGAAAAGTGCCAAAATCTGGCGGAAGTGGAAGAAGAAGAAGAAGAAGAAGAAGAAGAAGAAGAAGAACTAGAAATGGTACAATGGCTGAAGCCATTGTGAGTGGCTGCATAGATGTTGGAAGGGTTAGGGATGAAGAAGGAAGAGGAAGGGGAAGAAGGAAGAAGAAAGAAAAGTGAAGAAGAGGAAAGAAGAAGAAGGAAGAGGAGGAGGAAGAAGAAGGGGAAGAAGAAGAAGAGGAAGAAGGGGAAGAAGAGGAATAAGGGGAAGAACAGGAAGAACAGGAAAAAGGGGAAGAAGGGGAAGAAGAGGAAGAAGAGGAAGAAGAGGAAGAAGGAGAAGAAGAGGAAGAAGGGGAAGAACAGGAAGAAGTGGAAGAACAGGAAGAAGAGGAAGAAGGGGAAGAAGAGGAAGAAGGGAAGAAGAGGAAGAAGAGGAAGAAGGGGAAGAAGGAGAAGAAGAGGAAGAAGGGGAAGAACAGGAAGAAGTGGAAGAACAGGAAGAAGAGGAAGAAGGGGAAGAAGGGGGAGAAGGGGAAGAAGAGGAAGAAGAGGAATAAGGGGAAGAAGGAGAAGAAGAGGAAGAAGGGGAAGAACAGTGCTAGAAGAATGTGTTGTAAGGGGCTGAATGTGTTGTAAGGTGCAAAAAGTGTTGTAAAGTGCTAAATGTGTTGTAAGGTGTTGAATGTGTTGTAAAGTGCTAAATGTGTTGTAAGGTGTTGAATGTGTTGTAAAGTGCTAAATTTGTTGTAAGGTGTTGAATTTGTTGTAAGGTGTTGAATTTGTTGTAAAGTGCTAAATGTGTTGTAAGGTGTTTAATTTGTTGTAAGGTGCTAAATGTGTTGTAAGGTGTTGCATTTGTTGTAAGGTATTAGGTTTTATTAAGGTATTAAGGTTGTATTGGTTTGCCACTCAAATACAAAACCAATGGTTGACTGCGGAAGGTTCCGCAGTCAATCAATAAAAGATATCATCATAAAAGTGTTGACTAAGGATGCGTTCATATTTTGTTCACTTTGTTGACTAAAAATGAATAAATATTTCAGCATGTTGCCCACCTCCAGTAAGAGACTGTGATTCCCAGTGTATAGAGACACTCACCCTGGATTAATTCATAACATCAAAGCTGTTTTAATGCACTTCCCTACAGTGAACCAGTAGAGGAAAATCTCTTGGTAATCTGCCCATACAAGCTGCTCTCCCTCCATTACCAGCTGTAGCACGACCTGTCAACTTAAGGATCTTCAGACCTCTCAGCGCTGCCTTAGAAGTACCTCACATATTATTAATGGTAAACAACTCCACCCACTCTGGAGGCACTTTGACTGGGCCCCGCTCCGGTAGCATGTGTGCCAAAGAAAGAGCTTTTAAATGCTCTGTTTTCATAATAGGTTGCGTTCAGGTGACATCGTAACATTCTAAAAAGCCTAAAGTTTAACATTGTAGTGGAGGGCAGCTGAAAAAATCCCTCCCGGTAACTATGGTAACTGTCAAAGGTTGTTTGAGGCTAATTTCTCTTTTTCTTTAATTCCTGGACCATTCCACATGAAGCAGAAATTGCACAAAGTTCCACGTCTTCTTTGTCAGTTCGTATCAACTATGGTCTTGATTCACATGTTCAGTCTTACAGAAAATGTGAGACAGGCTTCTTCTCTGACAATGTTTAAATCCAGGTTAAAAACAGTTCTCTGCATGCAACTGAGGGATTTTATCTTTACTCGTTTAAATGTCCTGTGATTATTTATGATAACGTCTATTCTGTTTAGTTCAGAACTTTGAGTTGCCTTTTGTGTGAATTGTGCAATACAAATAAACTTGCCTTTCCTATGTTCTAAGTATTTTCTCATAAAGGTGTCTAGAAGTGGTGGCAATATTCAAGGACTCTCAGACATAAGAATATTTTGGTAAGTCTGCAGTAAAATGGCGGTTTTTTTTGCTGTCAAATAATGGTCTGGGAAAAACATTTGGACATTTCCTTTTTTATTTTCTTTCATAAATTATGCTTATTTTGCTAAAGCTAGAGATTTGCACTCTTGCGTTGTTATTATGCCAAAGTTAGAGATTATATTTTATCTTTGTTAATTTTTCTTGTGTTGTGTGCTCCTCATTCTTACTATTCTGTGACCGGTGATGCAACACTGAAATTTCCCCACTGTGGAATGAATAAAGAATTTCTAAATCTTAATATTAATTCTTTGTTCCCACAGAGTTGTACTGGAACCTCCCCTTTAATTCGCCAACATAAATGCAGCCTGTTGGAAAAAACTTGACCATTTGGGATCCAATGTTTTCCTCTGGGATCATAGATACATCTTGCTGGGGTTTTTTCATTTTTTTTTTTTTTATTTTAACCAATAAATGAGTTTTGGATGGATTAAGCTAATTGTATTTTTAATAAGTTTCTCCCTTGTGGCTTATCTTATAGTGAAGCACTCCTGGCAGGTTGTAGCTGCAGCTGTGTCGAGGGAGTCAAACAGAGGATAACAAAATAAAATCCAGGATACATACCTTCCCTTAGAGCGCTGTGAAGTATAGATGTGGATTAGTCGCTTCATACTATCTGGAGTTGTTGACTGAGAGATTGGAAAAACAACGGAATGTCAAAGTCAACACAAAACAAAATGAGGTTTCTGTCACTTGCCTCTGATATTAGCTAACATGGATACAACTACATATTACTCGCACTAGAACATAAAGGATGTTATGCTTCTTTATTATGCTGAAGTTGGAGATTTTATACTTGCTTCTTTACAACACTAAATATATGTTAAACTTGCTTCTTTCTTAGGCTAAAGTTCGATTTGTTCATTTTTTGTGTGTAGAATTATTGTTCTCATCTTTCCCTGTGTGCTCCTCATTCCTGCTGTTCTGTACCTGGTGATGCAACAATGACATTTCCCCCTGTGGGACGAATAACCAATCTCTTAATCCTAATCTCATAAATTACTCTTTAATGACCCTGTTGAAGTTGGGTTTGTTCAGGAGGTGGAGAATCTTTGTGTGACTGTGTACTTTGTGCACCACAATGATATTGTTTTACAGGTTTCTAAGTGTGCCCTATTGAAGGCCTCACGACAACTAGAAAAATGCAAATAATAAATTTGGCTGAATTTAAGTACATTCTGACACAGTGAAGAGCTTTAGCCTTTTTTTCTCATTTCAAATAACAGTTCACGTTTCAAGCAACACAAGATATTATTCTTATTCCATCGACATCTTGTTTTAAGACTATCAACAAATACTACATACTCTATAATAAAGAAAACATTGGGTTTAGAAGAACTAAAACACTTGATCTGAAGACAAGATGGACATTCTTAAACTATAAACAGTATGTGTTTGTAGTGTAGCTCACCTTTGTGAAATAGAAGCGCTCAAGGCGAATAAAGTTGGAGACTTCTGAAATAAATAAAGCAAGAAAGAAGTTCTGAAATGGGAAACATTTGGAGCTTGCCAACTTTCTAAATTGACATATTGTGCAAAAGAAACGTGTAGTATTTGTAAAATTCTATTCTTGTATCGCTCTTTTAAAAAACGAGGACTTTTAAACAACGTTGAATTCTCCAACACAGATCAGAGAATCAAACACAATGATAGAAAACACATTAGTCCATAAGAGTTTAACTGACATGTCTCTATCAGCTGACCACAAAGACAGATCTATCTTCACACTCCAACAGCAAAACAATTGTCAACATTATAGCTCTATTTATGAAGTGTTTACCTTCTAGCGTCTCACTCCAGTCAGGACCATGTGGCTGTGAGCCCTGATGCTTGTGATATGTCCAGACATGTTTCAAACACATGGTCCTTGGAGGCAGAGGAGGTGTCACTGACACACGGACAGCCTTTTTAACTACTACTGTTACAATACTATTACAACACCATTACACACACACACACACATGGCTGTCTGAGTCACAGGAGGCACTAAGTGTTTCCTGTATTGTGTTGATACAGGCGTTTGTCAGTCCATGCTCCGCCGGGGCTTCATACAGACTCTACATGAGGCTTGTTCTAATTACATTAAACCTATGGATGTAGTTTATTAACAGTGTTAAACAGAAGAAAAAACATTTCGAAACATTAGTGTTCTCCCATAGACTGTTTCAACAGGTTTCCACTGTATTCATACACGTGAAGAAGATGACAAAGTCTAGGATCGTGTCTTTAATTCAGACAGAAGACATGTTTTATGGTTGATGGTAGAGCACGAACAAAATATGTTACAAAATGCAGTGATAATATACAATGGAGGAATGAACACCGTCCAATCAGCTTCCGCTGCGATGCCAGTAGCTTGGCCTTCAGAAAGACAAAACAACAAGTGGAAAAGTACTGTCTCCTGCAAAAGTTAGAATGAGTTTGAACTTTTATGAAATCTCACATTCCCCCATCAGGATCGATAAACAGCGACATAACATCATAACTCAATACTTCAATAACTCATAAACTCAGTATTTAAAAAAAACTCAGAACTTGGAATACTTATATTGTAAAACATACTTCCAACAGGTCATTGATGACATAACATGGATGTTACTTAGCAACCAGATAATAGTTGGGGGGGAAATAAAAATCAATATTGAAAAAATCAATAATACAATTAGGAATATCATACTTAGAGCCACAGCCAAAAGCAAAAGAGATACAGTTCCATTAATGTGATGTATCCTTGAAAAGAGGGATTGAAATATGAATTTAAAATGTGAGATTATCCATGTACAGAATGATGTAGAGGCAACACAACATGTATTTGTTGGAATCTGATAAGACACAAATATATTTGTGAAGAAATACAAGTCACATTTGGAATTCATCTTGGAAACAAAAACAGTGTTTGTCATAATATGTAGGATTGAAACGAGAAGCAATAAAAGACAGCTTTAGGTTAGAAATGTATGCATGAAATAATCTTAATCAAATTCTACATTTAATAGTTTTATTTGTTTTAGGACTTCATTATTTGAGTATGCTAATTGTGAATTCTATTGATCATTACCTTTGATTAATCAACAGATGTTTTGTGAATCTCAAAAATATGTTTGTTGCCAAACTGTAGAATGAGTCACTTCCTGCAACCTCCCACACGTTGCTGATCTTAATCTTAATCAAATGACTTTGTTCCCATAGAGCTCTACTGGAACCTTCCCTTTAATTTGCCAACCTGATGCAGCCGTTTCCGTTTTCTTTAATCCAGACTCAGGCCTCATAAACACATCTTTGCTGTGTTATTTTTCATTTTAACCAATAAATGAGGTTTGGATGGATTCATTCATTCATTATTTGAATACGGTAATTGGGTATTCTATTGATTATTACCTTTTATTGATCAAGTGAATGTCAAAAATGTGTTTGTTAAATAAAGCCACACTGTAGAATGAGTCACTTCCTGTGTCGTTCTAAACCATCGTCTATATTTCAAACCGGTGTCATTTTAACAAAGTATATCGAATTATAAAAATCACAAAAACCTGTTAAACTCAAAGCTTCCAACATGCCCAGACATGCGCGTTCACGTCAATGTAGGAGAGAGAGAGAGACGTGCGCGCTCCCGTCGCTGCGTGGGGAGAATAGGAAAGCGCTTGCTGCCATGGCAACAGGGCAGCTCAGCCTCTGGTCCCAAAGAAGGAAATATGGGTCTGCAAAGTGTGGAGCATCACATTAAAAAGACCATTGAATCACGCGTGTAATTAAACTGTGATTAAACTGAAATGAAACCGTGCAGATCCCACAAACACTTACTTTGTCTCGTTATTTATGCACTTGTTTAAAAGCACTCACACATCACATCAACAAGACACACAGAAAAACACTGGTCTTTCGAGTGCATCCTATTCATCAGGTTTTCGGAGCTTATATTTGGTTTTCAGGGCTTGTATATTCCCACTGATTTGTGCTTGAGCAGTGGGAATTCAAAAAGAAATTGCCATATGTTAAAATAAAATGCAGAGTTGATGAGAAGATAAAGCACAATTTGCAAAACTGTTGCTTTTATCTTGGACTCATAATCCCCCATGATGTCACTGTCACCACGGCAAACACATTCAGCAAAGATTTAAAACAAAAAACACACACAATGCAACAGAAAGAAATCCAACATTTACAACATGTTTCAATCCTTTCGAGTAGAAGGAGCAATAAAAACCAATATTGGGTTGAACTACTGCATGTGTTTCTGTCCACATTATGTTCTGACCACAAAATTCACCAAAAAGCAGAACAGGAGTCATTCACAGAAGAGCCAATAGGCTGTTCATTCAGCTGAAAATAGCCGTCCTGCTTACGCACATCACCAGAACAGAGTTTAAGGCAACTGAAGCATCGGTGGGAGTGATTTGTGGAGGAGTGAAGCTACCAAAAACAAAGTCCAAGAGGAAAGAATGAAAGAATCTGTTTGAATGAAAGAAAGATGTCACTATATGCACGCTCTATAGCTGACAATATCCATCAAGCAGCCTGTTTATTTCACATTTAAGCAGGATTTAAACTAACAATAATCATTTACAATCAGTGTAATGTATCACAGAAAATGACCTCAGTGACCTCTGCTCAACCAACTGCAGTGCAATTCTGATCCTTGACATTAGGGGGCAGTGTTCAGGCTCTTTTGTCAAGTTATATCACTAGACTGATAATCAACAAATGTTCTTGGATAATAATTGTTTGTCTTGGTGTTGTTTTAAATCTGGATGGAGCAGATAACTGTGCGTGAAGAGATTTGAAGCTATTTTTTTCTCAAAAGTCAGTGTGAAGCATCTCCCTCCTCAGAGATCTTCGTTCAAGGACCCAGACTGCGCTGACTTGAGAGGAATATCAACAGGCAGTCACCAGCACCAGTAGGGAAGAAATAACACGTGTATGAACTGAAATCTATTCATTCTTTTAAGTTCAAATCTTGATTGTGAAAGCTTGGGTACAATTTCAAGCACACAATTCATCTTCTAGTTTGTAAGTGTCAGAAACATTGAATCACTATCAGTAATTTTTTAGATTAGACATAAAAATGAAAAAGAGAGGAGTCACTATTAGGGCTCTTACGTGTTTGCAAAATATGTTTTCTAGTAAACGGTGTAGACTGCACAATGTGTTCTTTCTGTTTGTTTTCATGTTTTGTTCCTTTGGATGTGATTTTCAACCATTTTTCATAAATAATAAGTTGTGTTTGCCTCAACAGAAAGAGCATTGTAAAAATGCTGTGAACTTGTGAGCCACAACATGTTTATTGTATTAGGCAAATTTTTCAGTAAAGAGCCCTGTGAGTCACTGCTTGAAAAGACTTTGGGCTGAGAGCTGATTGGCTGAGTGGGTTCTCTAGTTTCACTTATCTTTATAAGGATAGTGATCGGAGGCCAAACCAAACATACATGCATGTGACAACTGCACTTGCTATAATAATAATAATACTAATACATCATACTTTGTGGCACTTTCTTTGGACACTCAAAGACGCGTTACAAAAGGTTGTTAAATACAAAAAAATCAAATAAATAAAAAGCTAAAATAAACAGTTAAGTGGCAATTTTAGGCAATTCCAAACAGGCTACAATGCTTGCCTTGTGATGGTCCCAAACTGTGACAGGAACTAAATAGATGGATTTTAATACACAATTGATTTTTAGTGGTTTGAAAGTTACTCATTATTGATTTAGTAAATTATTACTTAACACTTAACACTATTATTTTGTAAGTAAAAGCAAAGAATGAGATCATATGCACAGTAATGTAATGCATGTCGATTCTTATTGCAAAGACATAGTTCTGACACAATGATCATCCAGAGAGGCTTTAAAACAGTTAACCAAGTATACAAAAGCCATCAATGTAAAATTAAGAATCCATGTTAAAACTAGATAAATATAAAAACTCAGAAGGACATTCCAATCTCCATCACATTTTGTTTTTTGTGGTGATTATGAAAGACAAGTTAGATGTATTACCTTGTTAAATTGTTTTTCAAAAGAACCACAACAAAGACAAAATGAACCTTTTTGAGTCTCCATCGCATCATGCCAGGCCTCAGCTGTTTGGACTGTTTGGTGAAACGGCGTTTATTGAATGACAGAGGGGGACACGGGTGACAGGGCAGCGGACAGGAGCTGGCTCTGATCTGAAGCACCATCTGTGACCGTCAGCTCAAAGCACCAGCTCTGTCACACACACAAGTCCACACGCGAGACACATGCCCTGGACACAGAGACACATGCCCTGGACACAGAGACACATGCCCTGGACACAGAGACACATGCCCTTGACACAGAGACACATGCCCTGGACACAGAGACACATGCCCTGGACACAGAGACGCATGCCCTGGACACTGAGACGCATGCCCTGGACACTGAGACGCATGCCCTGGACACTGAGACGCATGCCCTGGACACTGAGACGCATGCCCTGGACACTGAGACGCATGCCCTGGACACTGAGACGCATGCCCTGGACACTGAGACGCATGCCCTGGACACAGAGACGCATGCCCTGGACACAGAGACACATGCCCTGGACACAGAGACACATGCCCTGGACACAGAGACACATGCCCTGGACACAGACACATGTCAACAGAGGAAGCTGTTCCATGATCTGTAGCCACCATTACTATAATTATTTTCTTGGACTACTTGAATTAGACTAAAGACAGATGTATTGGTTACAATTACCACATGTTATTGACAGTGTTGTAAACGTTGCCTGTAACAAATAAATATCTATGTCAACTCATTGTTCAGGTATTTGTGAATTGGAGAAGGTATTTTGGAGATGATTTAAAGCTGGGCTGTCAGACTGGCTGCAGAAAGGGCCGGTGTGGCTGCAGGACCCATTTCCTCAGGACTTCAGGTTGGTGATAATGGGTGGAGTCTTGTGTGCTCCTGCTTGGTTGGAATGAAAACCTGCAGCCACAGTAGCCCGTTGAGGACTGGTTTGATACTCCTGATTTAAAGTCTCCACATTTTGTACAGACTGAACAGGAAGACACCCCAGTAGAGGTTCGGCAAACCAAACAAACGGGAAATCCTGGAATCTGTAATAAAATATTTACTGAATAATTAACATGTTTATATATATTTGTGACTTTTCAAACAAATCAGTGAAATTACATTAAATTGCACTAATTCAGGATATTGAATACTGATTACAATAACACATTTTGAATAACCATCTTGTTAGTAAACTAATCATTTTCCATTCTTGGAAATGTGTAGTTTAATCACGCTTTAAAAAGTATTTAGTATTTATTTCACTATAGTGAAATAAACACAATTGGAAACAGCAATACATTCTTCTTAGCATGGGCGAGAAATGAATGGTCTTTAACAAAGACCCGCGCTCACCAATCCACGTCCTGCCGCTCAGTAACATTAGAACTCCCAGAGCAGTCAATTTGACAATTTTTAGTTTTGGTGTAAATGTATTTACTCAGCTACATATACTTTTGGTCTTCATAACTTTGTGACTTCTTTGGGGGTTTATAAGTCATTTTCCACCAGAGAAGAGCAAGTGCTACTTACCATAGCAACACACCGTTTACTTGCAGCAATTAGCATTTATTAGCCTTATAACAAACTATTTTGCAGTTTTACTAACCCGTTCTAGAACTTAGTAAAAGGGAGTAAAGGTAAAAACCTTCTAAATTACTAACTTTAAAACAACAAAATATTTTTGGGGGGAATTTTTTAGAATTTCATTGGTTTAAAGAGAAGCAGTCAAAATGATGGCTCTGGGAGTTCTAGTATTTTCAGAATTCTGGAGGTCCTAGTGTTGAGGACATATAATGTACGTCTATCACTGCACTGATTTCTACAGAATAATCTCATTACCTTTAGGCTAATATTCTTCAACATTCTCCCACGTTTGTCCAGACCACGCTGTCTGCTGCTACATTAGTTGTGCTTAAAATGCACATAATCCACCTGGAAAGTAGCAAACAGAGCATACGGTGAGCGCGGGCCTCAACACTGTACACTGGAGTTTGAAAGCATCACTCATGCAGAAACACTGTCCCAAGGTCAATCAAAGCAAAAGTCTTTTCAAATGTAAATAACTTGTTCTAAACGTTTAAATATTCCCTGTTTTTCTTGTCTTTTTCTTTTTACAACAAAGCACTTTTAAATAACATGTATTGCCAGCACAGTTGCGTCTTTGGTTGTGGCATCATCTCAGTCTGGAGCGTTTGACAACAATCGTCCCAGCAACCATGTCGTACACAGTCCTGTTGTGCTGGAAGAACAGCAGCGTTATGAAGGCCGGGAAGAAGAAGGCAATGGAGAAGTTTTTATTCAAGGCTCGAACAGTCGATCTGAAAAATAAACCAGAGACAGCCTCAGTGCGAGCGTTCAAAAAGTGTGTAATACAATTTGATGATCATAGACGTCCTATTCTACTGTTGATAGCAGGAGTGCAAATGTTTTATATCACAGGAGACAAGCAGAAATTTACAAAACGTTGATTACAATTTTTTTGCCTCAGATAATCCGTTTATTTATTTTAGAGGTATCTAGTGAGATTTTACAAGAAGTCCCGCCTCTCTGGAAAAAAGGTGCTTTCAACAGGGCCACTCAAGTGTTATTTGGATCCTCTCCTGTCTTTCGCCCCGTGTTATGCCGGTCCTCTACTGCACCTCAGGGACCCACATGTTTTTAGCTATAATCTGCTAAATAGCTGCTAACCGGCTACATACAGACTCTGTATGAAAAGTGAGTGACAGTAAGGTTGTGATAATAAGGTTGTGACCAATATATTTTTTATTGGTACAAACATTTTCCTAAATACCTTTAACTGCTTCAACAAATAGAAACTGTTTCATTTACAGTGCACTGAACTAATTCCAGCAATATTTTAATTTTACACATAAGAGTTTTTTCCTGGTGGCAACACTAAGGACTGATTGAGGAGCTGTTGTTTGTTTAAAATATGAATAATATGCTCTAATGTATTTTATTCTAAAACATACATATGCAGTTAAGGGTGCAAAAGGGTTGATAGAAGACTCAAAAAAACAAAAGGTAAAAATCAATAGAATATGAATTACTAATATAATATTGATCAAGTATATAATATAAATCGATCGCTGCAGCCACAGTTGAATTTCAAACAACGCAGCCATATTCTCTCTTAAACATGCAAGACCACAAACTAAAATGTTAGGACGCTTAAGGACCAGTGAAATATCTAAAGAGAGTCACTATTTCCCTACGGACCTAAGAAAGAGTCTGATCTATAGTATTGAATTTACATTATTTCCCCAGGGGCCTGAGAACATATCTGGTCTATAGAAGGTAATGCACTCACGCTGAGAAGGACACATTGGTTGCAGGTACCACAAATACTCTGTTGGGCTGAACCAGGACTGACGAGTCGCATGTCACCACTCTCAGTCCGACCAGAAACTTCCCTGGAGTGGCCCCACCAGCTCCCCAAATGCACACAATCTATGGGCAGGAAGCAAGCGACATGAACCTCAAGTTTTTTTTTCACAATCTCTAAAATAACCACATGATATTCCCTGACGATCTTACCTCATAAAAGCACACTAATATGCGGTAAACCAGTGCAACCAGCATCATTTTCTGTAGCTCCTCCATGGATGTGTCCTCGTCTATTTCTTCTACTATAAAATGCATGGCAAACTTGGACACATCCCTAAAACAGAAACACAGATGTTATTACACATTTTGCCCTCAATGGGAACATGCAATACTTCATACTCACTTTATTCCACTTAGATGCATAATACTGATAATGATTGAAGCTTTAATAAAAAACAAAATGAAGAAATCCACCATCTCAGCAAATAGTCTTTGAACGGGTGAGGGAATACTGTACTCTCGGCCTACAAGAAGGAGAATAACATAAGCACGATAGTAAATATAGACAACTGGTAGGGCTGTGTAAACATAAAATCAGTTGCAATTTCAGTTATTACAAAAATGGTATAGTTAAAAAAAAAAAAAAAACTATTCTAATCAATACATATTGAACTATATGTTTTACAATTTGTGTCGGTTATGCTGTGTACCAACAATAAAACATGATTTCCGCTAAAAGAAATGATTCAAAACCTCCGCATTTTCTCCAATTAGTGGTCATTTATATTAGTCTTTTTAAGATATTCTGGGAAGATGTTGTCATGCCGTATCCATTTTTACTTTATAACTTGTTTGCACCATGAGACAAAACAAATTGCTAGCTTCCTGTTACTTACAATGGCAATAAAAATAATTCTGAAACTTCCTACTTCAGAAATCTAACCATAAGTGGGGTGCCTAACTTTATTGTTTCATAAATAATACAGTGTATTTAGTATTTGCTCCAAGAGAGAGTTGTAAATGTGGTGCTTGTGAACAAAACAGACCCATGTATCTACAATAACATGCTGCCTTCATCTTATTAGTAAATAGTTATATTTGGAATTCCCTGTGAGTCGGGGTTGGACGCTTTGGGCAGAGTGGGGTTATATTGTTGGTTGCCAAGCGACAGAAAAAAAGCTAAAAGAAAATTACTAGCATTACCAAAATAATCTCAGAAATGTAATCACACAGAAATAAACTACATACAGCAAGTCAAAGTTTAGAAGACCAAAAAGGTAAATGAGCAGAGTAATTTCGCTTCCAAAACTAAAACCCGTCAAATAGACCGCTGTGGGAGATCTTGCGGAGCTGCTACCTGGCCTCTGCACGTCTCCATTCTCCTGCGGCCGCTGTGGCGCTGCTGCCCCGGGACCAGCTGCATTTCCCCGGCTGGAGGGGGCTGCCGTCGGGGGGTACGGGCACAGAGCTGCGTCTACACTGCTTGCTAAGTGCATAGAGTAGGGGTACAAGGCGGCGGCGGAGACCCAGCTCTGCCACTGCACGTAGCCCGTGTGATAGTTCCACATCCACGCCTGCAGCCGCTCGCAGTACTCTGTGGTGGAACAGCTGTCCGCCGCATCGCCCTGGGTTCCTGCGGAGGTTTCGGGGCCTATTCTCTGCAACACTTCACTTATCAAAGGTTTTACGGTCTCGGAGAAGGACTCGTCTTTCCTCTTGTTGTCGACACCCATGTTTGTGTTCCCCCCGGCCGCCATGTTGGATTATGCCGTCATCATGCGCGCGCGTACGTCATTGACGCTCTAGCGACAGAAAAGTGCGGAAGAGACATTTGCGTTATCAAGATATGTGCTTTGGTTTCTTTAACAGATGCAACACTAAATACGATTTAGTTAATCTAATTTATTCTGGGAAAATTCCACGTACACAAATATTTTAAAACCCCTTCTTGAACATATTTCAACATAAAATTAGTCTATATAAGAAATATACTCATCTCTCAAATCATCAAAAAAAAAAATCTCACTTTTTGGAACATTTTTCATTTACATTTTTTTTTATGTTTTTGTTATCCTTGTCTATTTAAGTGTGTTTGTACATTGAAAGATTTGTACCATTTTATTTCAATTAAAAAAGCTAGATTGATAAAAGGCGTCTCACATAATTAAAAAGTATAACAAACAAGCTTTGTGAAACATGTTTCTTCCTCTGCTACTTCTGCTTTGCTTCTTTGTTTTTGAGTCTAGGAAAAAATAATTTGTGTTTATGTTGTGTTTTAAAGATTTGATACATTTATTTAAACTTTAAATTTTATATCTTAAGGGGATGGGATGGTGTATTTATGGCTGCTGGACACTTTTACCTACGGTATCAAGAAAGTATGTATATCTAACTATCTATCAAGGAAATAAAGAAATGTTTTGTTTTTCTTCTCTTCTCCGAACAACCCATGCCCAAATCACATAAAATATTTTTACTTTTTATGTTTTGTCAATGTATACTTGATATTTACTTGCGCTTTTTTCACCATCCAAAAAAAATAAATAAATGTATCAATTATGAAGCTGCAACAAGATTTGACGTCCTTGAAACAATTACATTTGAAAACTTCTCTTTACAAGATCATAATGTCAAATAAACATTGTATTGTGAAATGTCATAAATCGGAGTTCAGGGCCGCACAGATCGTTCATGTTATTAAAAGCAGGCTTTTTAGATGAGCTTTTCATTAGTAATTATTGCATTATATAATATATTTTTCCTTTAGTGAAACTTAGTTTAATTGTATTATTTTTCGTGCTTGAGTCCTTTTGTAATAACATTTGTGTTTTACTGTTTATTATATTGTTTTAATACCGCAGTGTTTCCTCTGGAGGAGCCCTCTACACTGCGAGCAGGGTGAGCTGTTGGAGTCTGGCTCCTGGACCTGGTGGAGGTCTGGAGCCTCGTCTTCATCTCTCCTCTGGGTTGTCTCCTGTTGGTGCAGACGGCTCCTTGGATGACGCTTTTTCAGCTGGTTACTCAGACATAGCCTTCTATTGGTTGCCTATTGTACTCATTCAATTCAACATTAGATGCAGTAAGAAAACATTTTACTAAATAATGACCCAACTATTCCAAAATGAATTTCCACAATTGCCTATTTGGCGTCAAGATATTTTTACCGAATTCAGATGCAGCCCAGAAACCTCTAAAATGCAGTTGTGGTAAAGCTATGCCACATTCTGCCACTAGAGGGAATGCGGGAATTTGGTGGCTTCCAGACCAAATTTGTCAAGGATTCAGATTTGATAGGAAATTAAAATTTTAACACATTTCAAACCTTACATTGTCATGAGCTACAAATTAATGACAATGCAACGATAGATTTGCCACAGTCTACATTAAAGTCCATAGTTTTAGTTTATCAAGAACTTTGTAAAGCTCTAAAAAGGTAAAGTTCAATGTACTTCTACAGTGCATTATACACAAGTAATGCATGCCAGCCTAAATGACGACCTGAATCACGCTGCGATCACCTCATGGAACCTTACTGAACCCAATTAGACACATTATGCTCAGTTGGTTCACCTCCATCCCCAAGACAAAGGGTCTGGCACAAATGAGGTCAGTGGACTAACCCCTCGCAGGGATTTGGCCTAATGCACTCAGCCACCCCTCATCATAAGGCTGCCACTATACACTTAGAACAAAGGAGCTTTGAGCCACCATCTGTAATCTTCAACTAAGCAGTTCCCATTTCCAGACTGATAAAAGTATCAAGAGATGCAGTTCCAAATTAGGCAACTTTTTTTATTGAAGACAAGCATATTGTGCAGCAAAACAGCCAGAGTACAAGTTATGCCTCCTTCTCGTATGTCCTTACTGCAACAATGTCATCCATGGTGCATTTCTGTGGAGAAGAAAAAAAAAAAAAAAGTATTATGCATCAAGACAAAGTGAAAGTGTTGCAAAGAAAAAAAAAACTGATGCAATGTGCAAAAAGAGCATTTTATAGAAACAAAACTTACAGCCACTAGTTTTCCATCCTGAATCTCACGTTCCAGTATGGTGGTTTTTCCGTCCCAAGTTTGTTTCTGCACAAGTTTCCCGTTCTCAAGCGTGAACGTGGTCTGCAATATTAAACATTCAAAGTCAGCATACGACATGGAGAACTATCAAAGAGCGACAGAAACAGTCTTGAGCCTCGCCTTTGTCTTTCGGTCGTCTGCGGTGGTTTCATCAAACTCCTCATTGAGTTTGAAGGAGATTTCAGTGTTCTTGAAAGTACTCTGCGCCTTCATGGAGATTACCCCATCACTCACACTAAAGGCAAGGTTCGGTTTGGCCATGTTCCCAATCTGACGAGTCGCAAAGCCCACACCTGCACACAGTTACATCACAAGTGTCCAGTCTCCGTTCGCAGATTCAGAAAGAGACTGCACTAAACCACTAATAAAACTGCAAACTACTCACCGATTGCCTTCATGTATTCGTCAAAGTTGTCGCTGGACGCAAGCTTCCAGGTCCCCACAAAAGGCTCCATGTTGAAGTTGTATTGAGGTGGTAGAGTATAAAAGAACCAAAATGGGATCCTCAGTCGGAAGCAACAGGGAACAGTCTCCTCCAAAAAAACTTCTATTTGAGAGCAGCCTGAACACGTGTTTAGGTTCGAACGTCCAATCAAAAGCCAGATCTCATAGTTTCAATAGTGATCAGACTATGAGGGGCGTGGTCTGCAATTAGGGCCAGAGGAGGTCACCATGGAGATGTCACGGATGATGGATGCGGAGCGATGGAGGCCATTGAACAGAGCATTGTGGGGGAGCATATTCAAATTAGGTGCGTGTACGACCTGAAGAATGTGCACGCTGTGACTGGAATGCATAGCACCGTATCCAAAAGGCTAGCAGGGGCTGAAGCCCAGGGGCCTGCCATTGTCAGGGGCCATGAGATTTAAGGGGCAAGTCACAAATAAAGTGCAATTTGTTCATTTTTATGTCAGTTTCTTATCTTTGTGACAAAACCATAAGTATAAGCTCGCCCTGCAGATAGCAGTGACTATTATTTATTATTTCTTAAAGTTGACTGGAAAAGGCTGTTTTTGTATATTAAGCATAACTCTTTACTTTGATAAAACCCTATATCTTTAGCTTAATAAAGAAACAAAGTATAAAAGAATTGCAAAGTATACATATGTGTAAATATAAAATTAACCATGAACCATAGTAGTAGTAGTTGTAGTTGTCGTAGTAGTAGCTGTTTCCTAGAAGAAGCCGCGAAAGCCCATATTGTGTCATTGGTAGATCTGACAAAGGAAAGTTGGATCCTATTTCTTGAAGCACTGTAGGCACGTCTCTGAGCCCATTCAAAGGAGCTCAGTGAGTTTTTTTTAGCATCTCTCCGGATTGACCCCCTCCTTCTGGGTCACATCCCCAGAAGCTCGCACCTGTAAGTCAGCACAAGGAAGCGAGGCGAAGCTGGTGCAAGATTTTTGAAGCAATGAGTCATTATCTCTCTTTATTTCTGAAAGTTGTTTGAAAATGTACAATGCATTATGCGGATATTGATATGCTAATTTCATTATTTTGGCCAAATTTTTAAGTCGATTTTTGTCCGTTTAGTTGAGCTGTTTTTTTACATTCAAGACTTCAAGAGATAAGAAACCGATACACAGTGCAAGATTTCATTTAACTTGACGGAATTTGAGTTTGTGTTTCACTGCCGGGGGAGAGTGTATAGAAATATGTTGTTTTATAGAAGTTTGACGCAAATTTGAAACAGCTTTTAGACATACATTTTTACACCCTTTCAAAGGTTTTTCTGCATAACATTTTCTGTCTCAAATCGAAACAGGACAGTAGAAGGAGGTCACACTTCTCTGTCCCCTTTATCAGGACCACCATTAATCACATTGGAACATCTTTCTGCTCCTTTTCATTTGTGCATTTGTTTGAAAGGACTAGAATCAATTGGAAATGTATTTGTAATATGTTGTGTTTTTTCATGTCTATTGACTTAAATAATGAACCACGAATTTTATCCATTCACAATCTGCCATTTCTACTCAACTTGTTACAAGCAATATGCGTGTGATCTTATTGGATAAAACATTTAACAGTTGCTGATAATAAATAAATAAAACACGAGCAGTGATGCTAGTGTCCACCATAAGATGGCGCTCTAAAATTAACAATATGTGTAGGCTGCAGACAGGCGTCAGATCGTCAGTTGTGTGCGTGTGTGCGTGTGTGTGTGCGTGCGTGTGTGCGTGTGTGCGTGTGTGCGCGCATGTGCGTGTGCGTGTGCGTGTGTGTCTGGTAGACGTCACTGTGGACAGGCCCCTGGATCTGCAAAGGGGCTGAAGGAGCGAAGTACATAAGATACTGTATACATTATTTTGCTATCATTAGATTTTAGACAAACTATATCCTCATAGGGAAAATAAAAAAAATAAGTGAAATAGATCAATCAGAATGTCCAAAGATATATTAATCATGTTGTAAGACTTGACTATAGGTCTGTTTGTATTTGTCTCAATTTTAAGTGGTGTGGCTATAGGTGGCTAGCTTTGTGCCATAACAAAGGGTGTTTTGTTGTTTTATGAAAGTCATGCATTCATAAACAGTATTAGATATGATATCCTTATACTAAATATGATTGAATGTACAAATTCAATAATTAAATTAAGTCTACATTTGGTACAGTGTTGTGGGTTGTCTTGGAAACAACTATGCATATACATACAGAAGGTTTTTATGCAACTATTCGATTAGTGAAATATTTGTCAATTGGTTGTTATTTTGGTTTTTTTAACCACACAGATTAAACGTGTTTTGATTCAGTCAGAGCTTTTACAAACATACTGAACTTCAGAAAAGAACAATTTTTTTTCACACCGTTTAAATTCAGCATTGCTTTCAGCCCACCTCTGTCTCATCACTGTCACGATTTGTCCGTTCATTATGCAATTGTCCAGGCTCTTGGCTTTACACACAGATCAAATGTACAAACAAGAAAAGGATTTAGATGTGTCATTGTAACCAAACCGTTGACAAACAAAGTCCTGCAGCCTTCACATCAGCCTTCAAAAACTGCCCCCAATAATGACACCATGACCTATTTCAGTAAATCAGCCTAAAAACCAACAAAATGTAAACTAACATGAATGATGAACAACCAGATAAACACAACTCAGCTGCAGAAATGCACGTCCCTGCTGATTTATTTATTTATTAAATCAAAAACCTGCATAGAGTTTAAAAAATACTAATGAAGAATGTGTCCAGAGCAGATTCAGCAATAACCTGCTCTAATGTTGCATTCTGTTTGCACATTCTGCTTTAAGGCTAATTGATGATTAGAAACCCTTTGTGCAATGACCAGCTGCAGCTATTCTGTGCTGATCAGAGAATCTACAAAGCTGTCCATCACTGCATATCTTTCCTTTCAGCCATGAGGATGTGGGTCTGGTTTTTTGTATCTCCAGTTCATGGAATTTGACACAAAACATTAGTTTGGACGTGTTTAAAGAATGCCAGTGTAGAACAGATCAAGCTAAAGATCATTAGAACAGATGCTGGCCGTAATTATATATACTATCAACTTCCTGTTCAGTAATGGTTTGTTGTTGTACCAAATGTATTTTCTTTAAAAAAATACAGTAACATTCTCACTGAATAGGGTTGAATAAGAGCCGTTTACAGTTAATGGTTATTGTGTAATTCTGCTGTTCCTGAAACAAAACTGTAAAAATGGTTTAGAGATTACCCAGCTACAGTCTCTGACAAGTTACTCTAAAATCTATTATGCAATATATTAGTTGGTTCTTGAATAGAAATGTAAATAGTAATAGTTAAATAATGTTTACAATTGTGGCAACCGAGGGGTTAACAGATCGGAGAAATAATAATAAAAGATTTTAGAGAGGTTGTAGCAACGCCACCCCAGACTTCCTGGGGAAATAATGTAGTGTAGATTGAAGGCACACAAGTAAGTGTATTGAAATACAAGGCAACCGGTTCCAGTTAATTCAGTTTTATTCACGAGATATATTTAATTAACAATCAATTTTTAAGACATTTAAGATTCTTTCACATTAAAAAGCGCTAATGTAGAAATAAAAAGGTTTAAACGAGTAAATTGCCTGAAATGTCCGCCTGACAGGCAAAACCCAGGGCAAAGAGTGTGCGCACGGGTCCGCGTCTCTGCTCGCCGTCTGAAGGGACACACCAGTGCGCAGCGCGCGACCTGGACCAGACGGGGAGGAGCAGGCAAAGTGGGACACAAAAACAGGCAACCGTAAAACAGCACTTTAGGCCGACATCAAAATCAGCAGTAGACAAAACACAGGAGCAAAACATCAGTGGCAAACACAGCAGGAGGCAAAACATGGCAAAACAGCAGGAGGCAACGTGTCAGTGCCACTGCAGACCTCTGAGGACACCTAGAAAGAATATTAATTTTGGAAGATTACTAAACTAAACCAAATCCTAAATGAAAAAGTGGGGAACTACAAAAATGGAAGCGAGACATACCGCTGAGGTGAGCAAACTGCGCACGGTCCCGGCTTGAAAGGCCAAGGGATGGCGCATGGAGCAGGCTGCCTGATGGCGCGGCCAGTCCTGCAGCGTGGCTGAAATCCAGACGCCACTTTAATGCTTTTATAATGTACACATGATAGGCACAGAGGAGAGAATGGGCCAAGGCGATCTTACCTGTAACACAGTGCACGGATGCGCGCACCAGAGTGGTGCAGGGCAGCGAGGAAATGCTGTATTTTGCAGTGATCAGACAGTGGCACTAAATGGAAAGTGAAGCGACTACTAAGTGACAGAATTTTAGAGGGATATTGCGTGAAACTGGACATAAAGCGGGACTTTACCTGGAGCTGGTGAACAGGCGGCCAACACAAGGGCCCGGAAGAGTGTGTGGGCAAAGAGGAATACAGCTGAGATTTGGGAGCGCTTTTATTGCCCACCGGGCCAGCGCCACGGAGCGGCAGGTAAGAGCACAACAGCACTGCAGGTCTCCAAAGCCCGTCTTACCACACAATGTTTATTTGTATGACACAGTTCATACTCTAGGCATCTCAATGTGCTGAAAAAAACAAGAATCATACAAGGCATTAGAACAATAACATGAATAATCCGTTTTGACTGACACAAGAGGCATTAAACAATTATGATCTTGTGGTTTTTCTTAAATAAATTTTGCAATGAGTTTGTTTCTTCAAAATGGAATACATTACAGTTGTAACGTTTGTAACTACCCTCACTGTCACTGATGCAAACAACAATCGTTAAAGTTAATCTAGTTGGTCATGTGCTCATGTGTTAACTGATATATGGCCAACATTCATCATTCACACACCAGACACACACAAGGTAATGTTGGTGAAGTATCTTGCCTAAGGACACAAGGGCAGTATGGCACTTTACAGGCGTACTTTGGCATCTTCTATATTCCAAGTCTCTGATGAGAGTTCTAGCCAGGCCCTTCCCTGCTTAGTTTCTGATGTCTGACAGGCTCAGGCTTTCACATGCA